CATTGGCAAAAGGTACAACAGAAATTTCAAAACTTTTGGTTTCGATGAGCTCTTCATCTGGAATTTGTTCACCGTTGGCCACATTCAAAAAATGAGCCGGTGTGAGCGCACCTATTTCATTAGGTTCATCGCTCAGCTCACATATTGGACGCGAATTAAGCACATACTCTATTTGACACAGTAGAGTAGCCAATTCCTCAAAGGTTAACGCTGAGTCACCAATTACACGTTTTAAGTGAAATTTCGATGATTTCACCGCCGCCTCAGCCAATCCATTAAAGTGTGGGCTAGCTGGCGGTGAAAAATGCCACTGAATTAACATTTTATTACTTTCTTCTTTCAAAGTTGCATCAAATTGGTCGCGTTCGTCTTCACTTAACTCACTGAGAATCGAATTTGCTCCTACGAAATTAGTCGCGTTATCCGAAAATATGTCTGTTATTGTGCCTCTCCTAGCCGCAAAACGACGTAAAGCGGCAATAAATGCCACCGCTGTTAAATCTCCCACCGGTTCCAAGTGTATAGCTCTTGTCACCATACACACAAAAATACAGATGTAGCCTTTTACAATTTTAGCCGCTCGTAACTTATTTGTTTTTACTTTAATGGGACCGGCAAAATCTATTGCTGTTTTGACGAATGGCTTATCCGATGCGTTAACACGTTCTTTTGGTAGATCACCCATAAGTTGGGCCATTGTACGCGGTTTGTGGATGCTACACTCTACGCACCGACGAATTATTCTTTTAATTGACCGTGCTCCACCTTCTACCCAATATTGTCTGCGTAGCAGTGATTCAGTTAACTTTGGCCCACTATGTAGGCCCAATAGATGAGTTTCGCCGATGATTAGATCTGTAACCTCACTTTTTTTCGGTATCAACTTTTGATGTCGCATATCAAATGGAATATTCGCATTTTTCAACCGACCGCCTACTCGAAGAATACCATCGTGATCGATAAAAACACACAATTTACTTAGTTTATTGGACTTGCTTAAGTTTTCGCTCTTGTTCAACAATGCTATTTCAGTCGCAAAATGCTCTGCCTGTAGCAGCTTGATCATAACTGTCTCTGAATTTTTTACTTCAGCCACCGTTAAACCACCAACTTTTCGAGGAGCATTTCTTCGTTTTTTGGGTTTGCAGTTGAAAGCAAATCGCAGTACGTAAGCAAATGTTTTTTTTTAATTTATAAAACGATGATGCACAAGGAATTATACTTTCGTTTTGCTCTGTCGCCAATAACACAACATTCCTTATTTCGTTGTTCGTCTTGAATTCATTTTTTCCATATGTCGTTTCATAATTTTCGTGCTGCTTTAACATTGGCGGACCGTGCCACCACAACGAATGCTCTTTTAACTCGTCAGCATAAATGCCGCGCGAAGCACAATCGACTGGATTCAGCTTACCTGGCACATGACACCAGGTTACCGACTCCAATGTTTGAATGTTTTTTTACTCTTGTCGACACAAATTTTTTGTATTTGTTTGGATCGTTTGCGATCCAAGCCAGCACTATTTTCGAATCGCTACAAATTTTTTCAATATTTAGATTCATTGACTTAAACACACTTTTTACCAAATTTACTAACAAATTTGCACCACATAATTCGAACTTTGGAATTGTATTCAACTCGTTCGTTGTTTCTGATTTTTTCATAAATTTTGCTTCGTACAGCTTTTTTTGATGACACTATGCTTTTGTTGGCTGTTGTTTTCGTTTTTGCCACCAACAAATTCGACGATATTTCATTGTTTTCATTCACTACTCTAACATATACATTCGCTGCATATGCTTTGTCACACGCATCCGCAAATCCATGAATTTGCACACTAACGATTGCATTTGTTTTTAACCCGCGCGGTATTTTTATTGAATTTAGTGCCGTTGACCGGGTTTTAAATTTCATCCACTCGTCGATAATGTACGCTGGCAACTGATCATCCCAACCATATTTGCTCTCGTTTTTTACTTTATTCGATAACATCCACACTTCTTGCATTATTAATTTCGCTTTAACCACAATCGGCGCTAAGTAACCCATTGGGTCATAAAGTGTTGCAATTTCTGACAATAATTGCCGTTTTGTTTTTGGTTTCGATTCCAATTCGAACGGAATTTTAAATGTTAACTCATCTGTTTTTGGCTGCCATGTAACACCCAGCACTTTTTTTACACTGTTTACTTCTTCTTTTTCACTATTTGGAATTTTATTCAAAAACTCACTCGAATTGCTGACGAATTTACGCAGATTAAAGCCAAAACGATCAAAAACAGTTTTTAATTGATTGTACAATTCAACCGCTTGTTCTACTGTATCAACACCTCCTACGTGATCGTCAACATAAAAACAATCTCTGATGGATTGTGCTGCGTTCGGAAATTCATTTTCCACAACACTGGCGATTTCGCGTAATGTGCGAATTGCTAAGAACGGAGATGGTGCTACGCCAAATGTCACTGTCGTTAGTTTATACGTTTTTATGTTTTCGTCGCTTGAATCTCTCCACAAAATCATTTGCAGTTTTTGCTGAATTTCTTCAATTCTGATTTGTTTGTACATCTTCTCCAAATCAGCAATAATGACTATTTTATGCATTCGCCAACTAATCATTAGTGAAAACATGGACGGCTGCATTAGTTTACCTATCGCTAACTGTTCATTGAGCGATAAGCCATTGGACGTTTTTTGTGAAGCGTTATACACGGTTCGAAGTTTGGTCGTTGTGCTATCTTTGAAAACTGCGTGATGGGGAATGTAATAGGCGTCACGTGGAGGATTTTCAACTAATACCATATAGCCCCTTGCAATATCATCATGCATCGCAATTGTATACTCTTTTTTTTAAATTCGAATTTTTCAAAAATCTTTTCTCTAATTGAAATAGTGTCGCCAGAGCCGTTCGTTTCGACTCTCCAAGCTCGACATGCGATTTATTTCGAAACGGATATGACACAACAAACCTACCTTCTTCATTTCGTCTTGTTGTTTTCAAATAATTCTCTTCACAGTATTTTTCCTCATCGGATAACTGCGAACAGTCACCATCAACACTTCCCATCGTTTCACTTGCGAAAAATTTGTCAATTTTATTCTCAATCTCGCTATTCAGAATCAATGATGTAATTTTGATCGTTGTTTTTTTATCATTATCGCGTTGCGGGCCCATGATCAGCCAGCCTACTTCGGAGTTCATCGCGATTGGAGCATCGTCTGCACCTTTTACAAGGCCATTATTCACAATCCGGCCGAATTCAGCTACCCCGAGTAGCAAATCAATTTCTTTGTCATCATTCACTGTAGGATCTGCCAGTTTCAACTTTTGTAAGTGATCATAATGGCTTAAATCACCTTTAAACACAGACAAGGTGGTTATCTTTTTCATCACCAACGCCTCGCATTC